ATGGCGAGGGTCTGATGGTCATCTTCCCTGCTTGGAGTTCAACTCTCTTCATAATATCTCCCTTTACCCTCTTCCTAGGGATTCCCTCTCCCTCTGTCTTGTGTAACTTCTAATTTTCTTATCCCTAAAAACTTATGTAAGAGAACACATTAGAATTTTCTTTCTAGTCCCATATATCCCTACAATTCTGACATCCTACAAGGCTGTTATCTCAGTGTAAACTGTTTTCCTTCATTGTGGTTGTGCTGGAACTTGTGACTGCTTTTTATCTAAAACTCCTATAGATCTTGGAATTCTCTTAATGACTTCTTGGATGATTAGCTCACTTAGGTTTTCTTTTTCATTTTTTCTGTTTATCTCTTCTGAGAACTTTCATTATTTGGATGTCAGATGTCTGAAACTGGTCCCTTATAATGATTCTTTAATCCTCTATTTTCTCTATGATTTTGATTATTATCTGGAAGAATTCCTCACCATTCTCTAACTCTTCTTTTGATTTCTGTCATTTGTGCTATCATTTTTTTTTTTTCTGAGAGGTTATTTTTCCTTTTTTTTTTTTTTAAATTTAGTTGTTTATCTAAAGGTTTTTTGCCTTAGGGTACATGGGCTCACCTGAGAAAGAAATGCAGAGACAGTGAGAGGGAAAGTGAGAGGTCACTCCCTAGTGGGGATGGTCACACCACAATGCCCTCTCTTCCATTCTGCTCCCAGGATTTTGGACATGCACTCACACACCAAGAGTCAGTTTCAAGACACATGGTCCGGGACTCGAACTGGTCAGCCATGTGGGAGTCAGGCGATGTAACCTCTATGCCATCTGCTGGCCCCAATTTTTTGTTTTGTTTTTTAATTCCAGAGAATGCATGTGCATGCATGAGAGAAAGAAGGAGAATGTAGGCATAATCATGCCACAATTCTTTTTCCTCTAGTTCGCCATCCCATCAGGATCTTGGACACATACACACCCAACATGTTTTTCAAGCCACTGGGGCCTAAACCCTTGATCAACCTTGTGGTATCTGGCTTCTTTTGCATAGCGCTTAACACTTCACTACAAGGCCAGTTTTCCAAGAGCTTTTTTAATTTTCAGTTTTTAAATCCCACGTTGTTCTTATTTCATGGATGCAATATCATTGCTTATCTCATTTACTATTTTAATAATTATGTTTTTTGTAAGTTTCCTGCCTCTGTGTTTGCTCTCTGGATCCTCTTAGTCTTGGTTTCTGTCTTCCATATGAGAGTCTTTCCTCATGCCTGGCAAACCCTGTTTGTCTGTTCAGTGTTTAAAAGTGAATAAGGAAAAAGATGCTTTGAAGTCCTGACCATATGGGTGTGGTTGTCTGACACTGAGTTTCATTTAGATGGATCCAGTTGAGTCCTTTAATGAATAATCCCTGATGCTATTGTCTCTACCCCTTTTCTCTTAGGCTAGTCAGATTTTTCAAAGAATATTTATTTAGTCTCCTGCCTGAGAGATAGAGACTTAGTTCTCAGTGGCTTTTGAAACTGCGTAGGAATGCTTATTGGGGTTGGGTTGGGTGTGGGAGTGCTGTGGATGGGGCCCTCAGCACTCAGCACGCCGCCATATGCTCACATTCATTACTCTCCTTTCTTCAGCACAGGGCTCACACTGCCACCTGTGGGACTGAGTCCTCCAGTCCAGATCCCCTGTGTTTTATTCTGCTCAAGAAAAAAACCTCTAATTTTATGCTGCCACAGATGGGAGAGACACTCACCTAGAAGCTTGCAATGTCGGTTGAGATCTAGGGCTCTAACTACTTTTAACCAATCCTTCTCTTTTTCTTTTGACCACTACCTGCACTCTCCCTCCCCCCTCACCCCCCATGCTCTGCTTTATCCTTATTTTCTGCTCTGCATCTTTTGAGGGTTCTGTGGTTTAGATTAGGGCACTGGCTTTCTTCATTTCAGGCTTAAGATTCCGGTTTCTTACATCTGCTAAAGTAAGTTAACAGACATTCTGCTTTTTAGCATCCAAAATTTATTGCCATTGTCTCCTTGCCTTTTCTCTCCATCCCTATGGGTTTCTGTCTTTTGAAAAAATATATCTTTGCTATAATTTTAGTAGGGTTTCAAGAGAAAGGGAAGCTATATGGGTGTTAAATCCACTATCCTTACCTTCCTGTAGCTTCTGTGAAGTATATCAATTGTCTGATTTAGCATATAAAATAAGTACTTAATCCTTGTAAAGCTGTAAATTAAATTAAGTTTAGCAAATCTTAACTTTTATATGTTCTAATACTATTTATAAAGTGACTTTGATTTAAATCACAAGTTTAAATAAATTATTGAAGTATGCACATGAAATTAGAATTACCAGACAAGTCTTCATTTTAACAGGTTAAATTATTTTAAGTTTGGGAGATGGTAAAATATTAAATATGCACAGATTCTTTAATGTAAAAATATTAATACTTTATAGTTGGCTTTCTTTTAAAATTCTACTTTTAACTCTAAATTTGGGGTTGGAAGAAGCTAATTTATATCATCTCAAACAATTTTGGAATATCTTCCCAAATATTCATGGAGTTGCCTTCTCCTCTTGTTATGATTTATTAACTACCAAAGAGGTTCCTTATGGGATGATGACTGAATTTTCGCCACAACACTGGTATGATTTTGGATTCCCATGTGTCTATGGCAAGTAACCATTTCTTAGTTCTTTCATCTTTTCAGAAAAATTGGCCACAACCACCCAAGCTGCTATATCAATTGATTGGGTTTTGCATTTCTTTGGCTTGCTTTCAAAAATGTATAAATTGTTTTGATGAGTATCCTTGAAAAGCTCTGAACTGTAAACATTCCTATAGTCTTTTTCTGTTCTCCTGTTAGAGCTAAACCTCTAACAGTAATTAAATGACCTCCAATCACCCTCTTAACCTTTTTGATTATGACTTCTAGGGTTATTCAGTGAACATAATTAAAGGCAAAAACTAGAGAAGCTAAGGCAAAAACCAAGATGCAATATAAAGCAAAACGTCTGAGGAGATTTGATCTGTTACATCCTTTCACACATAATCCCGAGGGGCTCTATTACCGAATGTAAAACATGCTTGGCCAGACTGTGTATCCACCAGGGCATCAACCTGGAGGGAGGTGGAACACACAAAGGGAAGAGAAAGTGTCTAATTATATGGGCTATGGCTCCAGATAGACTAAATGTGCTCTGGATCCAAACAGAGGGAAAATGGAAACTACCTCTCATGTCATCTTCATGTGCCCCTGTAAGGAGCCAGCTTCACGGATGGCCAAAGGAGGTTAGAGAAGAACCAGACTGCCAAGACTGACTGTCAACACTAAGAATGTGCTAGTGATATCTGCTGGAAGATTGAGAGCCTGGGGCAAGACTAACACTAACTTTTCTAGACTACTGCAGAGGAAAAAACAATCTGAAAAAAAACAGCTCGGTTCTTCTACTATGAGATAGTTTATGGAGTTACTCAAAATTATGACTATGAAACTATCAAAACCACAAACAATTCTACTGGGGGCATCTGATCCTTGGTAACAATGTTTGTTTCTACCTGTGTCCACTCTTCATTGACTGCCTCTGCACCTTTAATATGCATACCTTCTCCATTTTGCATTTTCTATGCTTTCATAATTTTGGTTTATCCCATTGTCAGCTGGTTAATAACCCTTCTTGACTAGTGAAATGTGTATTTTCAACTTCAGATATTCTCTATTTCAAATTCTTAAGAGCAAAAATCTCACTGCCTCTGCCTTTTTCTGTTGGAGCAGAGTTTCTTAAACCAGATCACCACATAGGTCAATGTTATCACTGTCCTTGTGTCTGGTCGCCACACCTGCTCCAACTAGCTGTAGTTTAAATGGGATCATTAATGCTAGATTGAAACATGGTGCTAGAGGAGCCAGCAGGTGACATGATAGTTGAAGTTCTGGACTGTCACATGGCCTACCACAGAATGAGTCCCAAATCCAGTGGCTTGAAACTCACACTGGGGACCTGTGATTACATGTCCAAAATCCCAGTAGGAAAATGAAGAAGAGACTGCAAGTGTGGCCATGGCTCCTGGTGATGGTGTGTGTATGTGTGTGGGGGGGTATTTCTCACTTTCCATCTCACTGTCTCTCTCTTTCTCTAGTGAGCACACATGCTCTATGGCAAAGTCTTAAAAAAAAAAGAGAAAGAAAAAAAGAAAAGAAAAAAGAAATATGGTACAGGGTAGGGCAATTTAAGTAAAAAAAAAAAAAAAGCATGAATATGATGGACCCCATGTTAGCATTTTAGGTAAAGCCAGCTTGGAGACCAAGGAAGAGCAAACTTATTTATTTGTCCTCTGCCCTTTTCTTCAGAAAGAGAATTCAAAAGACTGAGGGACAGGATCCCTCAGGGAGCCTCTAGGTAAACCAAAAAGACTTATTTATGTGCCTTTGATGACGTCTAGGGAGAGACACTGGGGTTCAAGTTTTGGGAAGAGGTATCTGTTGGATTTAAAGACACTTGCCTAATTAAAGATCTTTGGCCACTGACCATCTGTGTTGTTACTTTGACGGCTTAGGGTGTTTTCTGCTTGGAATAATCTGGAAATCCTATAGGAATGAGAATAGGTCAGAGGATATGGGAAGGGAGCAACCTGCTTGAGGCTCATTTCAGTTTTAAAGGAGTTTGGAATAACTCTGGAAATCCTATAGGAATGAGGATAGGTCAGAGGATATGGGAAGGGAGCAGCCTGCTTGAGGCTCATTTCAGTTTTAAAGGAGAGAGAAGTAGGCCCTTCAGGATTCAATCTCAGTTAATATAACTGAGCTTCCCATGGTAGGAAGGTAGGAGGATTCCGGCCAGGAGTATTGCCAGGATTAACAACTGAGCCACTTGGCCAAAGCATTCCCTGGTGGGCTCTCTGGAGAGCCAGCAAGTGAGCATGAAGTAGATCATTGTGATAGACAAGAACATGGCTTCTGACCAAAATAGATATCACCTCAATCTATGATTAGCAAATCCATCCTCTGCTGTTTGTGGCATGATGCAATTAAAGCTTGTTCTGTTTTAGGGCCTCCCAAGTCTCTAGGTCAAGGTAAGGAAGTACTCCTGGCTCTGGACAATGGGCCCAGGCGGACACACTGGGCTTCTGACAGGCTCACTGCAGCTTTTCTGCCTTCCAGTAGATCCTAGAGATGCCGTTCTGTTTGCTTCCAGAGGCTTCAGTCATCTGGCTTTCCTCTACTCTGAGGCCTAGTGAATAGAGAAAAGGATATCTCCTTTCTCTTCTTGCCCACTCAGCCCATTTTCCTGCATAAATCACAAGAAAACAGGAAAGGGTTTAGAAGTCATAAAAGATACCAATTACATTAATAATGAGTCTCCAGTAAGATGTGAATGGCATTGGCCTGGCTTCTTCCTCACTAATTCACCACAGTGTGCCATCTTGAGCAACACTCCAGCCCAGGGATTTCCTCTGTCATCAGGGAAGGACATCAGATACCCCTCCCTCAAAAGGGCATTTGTATTTGCCAGAGAGTGACAGAATGAGAGGAAAGCACCCTACAATGGGGGATGGTCATACCACAGTCCTTTCTCCTCCATTTCTCCCTCCTTTCAAGTCTTTGGGCATGCATGCACATGTTCCCAGTGTGACATTGGGCATACATGCACATGTTCCCAGTGTGTTTTTCAAGCCACTAAGTCTGGGACTTTACCCACTCAGTTGGCCATGTGAGATCTAGCCACCTTAACCATCATGCTATGGACTGACCTGACATCACATGGTCAGCATAGACCAGTTCATCCCACAAGTCCTGGAGGCTTTTATTTACATCTCAGTACTTCATCAAAAATAAATAAAGAAAGAAAGAAGAAGAAGAGGACAGGGAGTGCTATTTACTAAAGGCTTATTCTCAAGCAGGTATCATCCCAACCATTTACATACTCGTCATTTAATACTAAAATAGTCCAATGAATTAGACAACATCTCCATTTTTTAAAAGAGTTTTCTTGCTATCAGGCACATGGACTTGCCAGAAAGATAGAAAGAGACAGAGAGATAGAAAATGAGAAATCACCCCCCACCCCGGGGGATGGCCACGCCACAATCTCTTCTCCTCCATTTTCCTCTCAGAATCTTGGGCATGCACGCACACATGCCCAGCATGAGTTTAAGCCACTGATCTGGGACTTGAACTGCAGTTGACTACATGGGAATCCAGTGACATAGTCATTACACTAACTGCTGGTCCTCAGTATGTTCATTTTTAAAGTGACACAGCAATGGCAATACATTTTCCCAAAGTTATATAAGTAAAGAGAAGCACCATTATTTAATTTGAGGTTTGTCTGACTCCAAAGTGCTTTTGTCTTTGTACAAATAATATGCCCTTAAGATTAAAATATCCATGCCAAGAGCAAAGGGTAAAAAAGACAGAAAATACACAAAATTCTATTTCCCAGATTTGATCAATATCAACACCTGCTATTTCTTTTTCGATATTTTTCTCCATGCATCTACAGAAATATACATATACAAGTACATATTCATTCACACTTTAAATAATTTTTCAATATCTATTGTGTTGTTGGTACTGTTCTACATCCTAAGGTACTTCAATTCCCATCCTTAAAGAGCTCACATTCTAGTGGGGAGTCGGAAAATAAACAAATACATGAGTAAAGTTAAACTCTAATGTGTGTTAGCCATGAACAGATATGGAAATTGTGCACCACACAACCTCAGGGGAAGCTAATTACACCATGGTTATTGTGAATAACAGCTTCAGGAGTTGGGTAGTACATAACCTGTACCACACAATGGGTAATAATAGAAGAAACGATGTAGTCTAAGGAGGACTGCTGTTTCATTTACTTTTTCTTATTTACTTTTTCTTTTTTTTTTTTTTTGGAGAGATTTTTGCTATAGGGCGCGTGCGCTCGCCAGACAGAGAGACATAGAGACAGAAAGCAAGAAATCAACCCCCAGGGGGGATGGTCACGCTGCAATCCCTTCTCCTCCATTCTCCTCTCGGGTTCTTGGGCACACATGCATACGCGCCCGGCGTGAGTTTTAAGCCACCAGGTCCAGGATGCGAACCGCGGTCGACTACGTGGGAGTCCAGCGACATAGCCATTACGCTAACTGCTGGTTCCCAAGGACTGTTGTTTCATGAACAGGAGGTCAGAAATACTTCTTTGATTAAGGAATATTTGAGCGTGGCTTAAAGAAACTGAGAGAGCAAGCTCAGCAAGAATCTGAGAGAAAAGTCTTTAAGCAGAAGGCATTGTAAATGCAGTAATCCCAAGGCAGGAATGTTTTGGGCATGACCAAGGAACTGCAAAGGGGCTGGCATGGGTGGAGGGTGGTATACAAGAGAAAAGACTAGGACTCAGGTCAGAGAAATAATAGGGACCAGAATAGAGGACTTTGTGGTATGATAAGGACTTTGGATTTTATGTTGTGTGACGGAAGCCACTGGAGAGTTGAAAGCAGTGATGAATGTCTTAGGGATGAATCTGGCTGCTATGTAGAGAACACAGTGAGGAGGCAGTGAGACCAGGCAGAATTAGAAAGACAGTGGTATTTTGGTAGCTAAGACTAGGCTGAGAGCTCTAGAATGATAAAAAGTAGTCACAGTCAGGGAATGTTTTAGAGCACTGCTGACAGAGCAGATTTCAGATAGTACCAGCAGGACTTGCTGATGCAAAAGACACCAAGGAGTTGAGATGACCCAAGCAGATAGATAGTGTTTTATGAGATATAGAGCTGAGGAGGGGCAGGTCACGGGAAACCTTTGTAAACTTAAGTTCAAGATGGTTATTAGGCATGCAAGTAGAGACTAAAGATATCATTCTGGAATTAGCATTGAGTAGATGGTATTTAAAACCATGGACTGGGACCAGCAGTTAGCATTGGCTATGTCATTGAACTTCCATGTAATAGACCACGGTTCAAGTCCTGGACCCAGTAGCTTAGACTCACGCTGAGCACGTGTGCCTGTGTGCCTGAGATTCCGAGAGGAGAATGGAGAAGGGATTGCAGCATGGCCATCTCCCCTGGGGGTGATTTCTCACTTTCTGTCTCTCTGTCTCTCTGGAGAGTGCATGTGCCATGTAGCAAAAACCTCTCCAAAAAAAAATTAAATAAATAAAACCATGGACTAAAGGAGATCACCTGTAGAAAGTATAAAAAGAGAGAAGCAGCCCAGGAACTAAGCCTTGGATCCAAGCAACATTAAAAAATAAGGAAAATGAGGAGAATCAAGCAGCATCTTCTAAAAAAGAATACCAAAGAGGTAAGAGGGAAGCCAGGAGAGTTTAATTCCAGAAGCCAAACAAAGAAAGTGTTACAAGCAGGAGAGAATGACCAAGTGTGACAAAGGCAGCTGAAAGATTAAGTACAAGGAGAGGAAAGTGACTGTCTGACTGGCTAAGTAGAGGTGAATCTGGCATTGATGACCACAAATGTTGTTCTGGTGGAGCAGTAGGGAAAAAAAATGACTGAAGTGAACTTAAGAGAGAATAAGAGAAGACAGAGTAGAGGCAAATATAAACAACTGCTTCAAAAATATTTGCTGTGGAAAAAGGCAGAAATGACATGGAAACTGGCAGGAGATGGGAGCCAAGGAAAATCTGATATTTTATTTTAGTGTTTTCCATGAGTCATCTTATGGCACGTTTTTAACAGCCTAGAAGAGAAAGGGAAAATGATATGATTAAAAGAGGACAGAGCTGGGGCCAGCAGGTAGCATGGTGGTTAAGGTGCTGGACTCCCACCTGACCGACTGTGGTTCAAGTCCCAGACCTGGTGGCTTGTAAATCATGCAAGACACATATGTGTGTAAGCCCCAAATCCCAGAACAATGGAGAAAAAGGGATTGTGGGGTGGCCATCCTCCCTGGGTGGAGGGTTGTGATTTCTCACTTTCCTTCTCACTGCCTTTCTATGGTAAGTACATGTGCCCTATGAGAAAAACAAAAAAAAACTTTAAAAAAAAAAAAAAAAAGAGTACAGTGCTTCGGGGATCATGCCCTACAGGAAGTGGAATGAATAGGATCTTATGAACCAGTTGTGTGACAGGTCTTTTACCAGGATAATGGACTAATTATAATAAAAGAGAGCATATTGATTACTCATAATAGTTTTTAGATACATATTACTTTTAAATCTACTTTTTAATTGACTGTTATGATCATATTCTTTCATAAATAAACTTAGATGAATACCACAGTCTCACAGAATTTCAAAGCATACATCTTTCATAATATAGTGAATAAATCCTTTCATTGGACATCTCTGTTATTTCCAATTATTTTACTATTACAAAGAATGAAAAGCTAGTGAATTCTGTATCATCTGAGCCAATCCATGTGGGGCTGCCCACGACCAGGCTTAATCCTCCCTCTGAGATTGGAACCCTGTGAAACATTCAGGACCCTGCTCATGAATGGGAAGAATCACTTGGTCCCCTGCTAATCACGTCACTTCCTTCAACCTTGGCCTCTATTATCCAGAAGGGTGTGCTTATTCTGAAATAGAAATTGCATTGAAATAGAACCTAATTTTGCCCCCTCTGGAACTCAGAAGAGCTTTTAAAAAAATTTTTTTTTTGGAGAGTACCATGGAAGCATAGTCTCCAGCCCCAGAGTTTGAGAACATTTTAGTTCTAGTTATATTGTTTTCCATTAAGAAACAGATTTTTAGATATTAAAAATAAAATGAAGGCACAGAAAACCAAGTAGCTTGTTTTAAATTTTCTTAGCAAAGTTGAAGTAATAATAATAATAAAAAAGAAATGAAAGAATTCCACTTGGGTCTAATTGTAAAACACCCTTCTTTCTCCCTTTCTATCACACTCACAAAAACCAGTCTACTATCACTAGCTCTTCCCAAGATTCCCAAGGATAGCCACACATAGCCAAACTGTGTTCCTGGGAACAGAGTCCATCTGAGCCAGAGGCCACAGGTTCCTTAGAGCAAGACCAGAGCCCTTCCATCTGTACCTCCAACCTCTCCTTCACAACCCTGTGAAGACACACAGGCCACTTCCTAACCCCCTAATGCACATAGCAACTTCCTGTCTCCTTTCCTTTCCTTATGACCATTCTGTGTTCATATGCTCTTCCTTAACCTTGTGTGCTGGAATCCTGACCCTTCTTAAGTGCCTGGCTCATAAGCCACTTTCTCCAGGAAGCTTCCCCCAATATCCTGGGCTTGTTCACCTCAGAACTCCTACAGTTCTTTATCTGTCACTGTCTCACAAGCCTTAATGCTATCCTGTTCGGAGATCATTTACGTATATCTCATCTTGTCTTCCCTAATTCCACCAGAGTAGAAGAAGGGATCATGGGAGAAGAGATCATGTCTGAGGGGCCTAAGTAACTCCTCCAGAAGTTGGCCCAAAGCCTGGCACAAAGTAGATCTTGTTATAAGTTTGAAGGATGGATAGATGAATGAGTTCCCTACCTATCTCTGGCTTCACAATTTTTTTTTTAATGTACCCATTTTCTTTTATTTAAGTTCTAGTCATCCTTACTAACATGGTTATGTAGAAATTCTTTAATGTCTCTCTCCCACAACTGTTGCTGTTAGGTGCCCAGAAACTCCAACTCTCCTCCATCCCATTTCCTTAAAGTCTTACTCTACGTTTCCCATAGTTACCACCTATATTCCTAGCTGAGAAGTCAAGTAATGAGTAGTTAAAAATACAGTATTTGCCAGGGAGGTCTGCATCTTGATAGGATATTCCAAAGGCAAAAAGGACATAGATTTCCAGTAATAAAACTGTAGACACTGCGATGGGAGGTAGCGCAAATCCTGCCTAAATGCATGCTCTCTGACTGGAAAGGCTGGTCCTGGGGCCAGGCTTCTTGCAGCAGAGTAGGAATTGGCATGAAGAATCCCCATCAGTGCCTCTCTCCCCTACTCTGACCCAGGAACTGAGAGCTGGACAGCTAATGTTAATGTCTCTACTGGCAACACCCTTGGTTCTCCATTGACAGATAGCCTTGGCCATGCCAGAAACCTCAGCAGGTACAAACTCAGAGCTTCAGAGACCACAGCCCCTAGGGGCAATCCTTTTAAAGAGTTAAAGTACACTAGCAAGCCCATTCCCTGCTCTAACTAGATGTCTGACAGGGAAGAGCAGGACTGTGCTTCCCTCAGGCACATCAGGAGGAAGGCAGCCACCAATCTGCCCTCTTGGAACCTTCCACCCTAACAGCAGGACTTCAAGTGCACCTGGGTGAGTTCCCTGGGCTCAGGAGGAGGCAGAGAGAACAGCTGAGACAGGTACTGCTGCAACTCCAACAGCTGAGCCCCCACCCATCTACAGGGAAGTAGCCCCTCTACCTGAGCCAGGCTGACCTCTCCACCTTACTCTGGAGATGTGCTGGCAGCAGTCAGGAGGACAAGAGGAGTCTTTTGTGCACTCCTCTGCACTGATCCCTGGATCCAGTTAGGATACTAAGCGAAAGCTCTGGCTCTTTAAGGAGGATACTAATGGCTAATAGACAAGCACATAGGTCTGAGACTTGAACACAGTTCCACCGTTTGACTGGGTGGCTTTGAGCAAAACATGCCATGTTTTTTTTTAGAGAGATTTTTGCTATAGGGCACATGCACTCGCTGGAGAGACAGAGAGACAGAAAGCAAGAAATCATCCCCCAGGGGAATGGCCACACTGCAATCCTTTCTCCTCCATTCTACTCTAGGGATTTTGGGCACATACACTCAGCATGAATTTTAAGCTGCCAGGTCTGGGACTTGAACCACAGCTGACTATGTGGGAGTCCAGCAATGTAACCATTATGCCATCTGCTGATCTCAACATGGAACTTTTATCAGTCTTCACTTGATATAAAATTAAAATTAAACAGTTCCTGCTTCATTGTCTAAAGATATGAAATGCAAAACCAGCTGGTGGTATGTAGTTAGGATGACTGGATCCCACGTGGTGGACTGCGCAATTCAATTCCTGGGCCCAGCAGCTTGAAAAATGTACCAGGCATGTGTGTGTATGTACCAAAAATCTTGAAAGAAAAAGTGGAGAAAGGATTGTGGTATGAGAAGGAAGTGCTTTCTCACTTTCTCTCCCTCTGTGTCTCTATCTTTGTCTTTCTATCAAAGAGTGCATGTACCCTCTAGGAAGAAGAAGAAGAAGAAATGCAAAACACTCAGCAGTATCAAGATTCACATGAGTTCAAATAATGTTAGCAGTTGTTAAAGAGATTCCAGTCTGGCTGGGCTGAACAATAAAAATGGAATTGATGGTCAGAAGGAGAGAGAAGTAACATCCCTAACACACATTCCACAACTACCGTCCTACCTGCCCTACCTTCCGCGCTGTGGTCCCACCACTGCCTGTGACAGCTGGTGCCAGCCACTGCAAGCCCTGCTGCCTTTCTGACCTGCATTCAACACCCAATTTGCATGTCCTGATCTAGCTTTTAATCTTCATCTCTATCTACTTCCTTCAAATAGCTGACACCCTGGCCCCATGATCACTACCCCTACTCTGTTCTCTCTCTTGTCCCTGAGCCAGTGTTGGCTGACTGTTCTCACTGATGTTATCCTCCCAATCACTCACGCCTGAATCCCAAAGCCACCTCCTTTAGGAGGTCCATCTTATCTCCAAACTGGGATAAAACTTCTCCTCCTCTTAGCTTCCAAAGCACTTCTCACATTAGTGAATCCAGGTGGCTTTCTATTCTTCTCAAGTTCCCTTTTGAAGTACAAGCAAATCAAAGGCACAATGACTTTTCTGCCAAGTTTAGAATGTTCTGGGTCTAACCATACACTGAGAAGGGACACAGGGCACAATTAGGCCACCCCTGCTTTATCATCTGACTCAGAATATCCTGCTCTCTCTGCTTCATTGCCAAGTTGGCAGCCTCAGCCTTCAGCAGCTAGTTTGAGGTAGCTGTGGCTCTCCTGCCCCTTCTCAGTCCCTGGGGAAATGGAACTCTTGCTGCCTGAATCTTCAGTCAGGACTTCTCGTGGCAGCCTTGAAGCACCCTCCTTATTCTCACACCCACAGAATGCTTCTCTCACTTACCTGCTTCGCTTTTCTAGTTTTAAACTCCTCTTGAGATCCACTTTATTTTGCCAATCACATCAGTCTCTGTGTTTCTCAGATTTTTATTATTCCCTGTCTTGGATATTTAATCAAGCCCATAGCTGGACATCCCTGCGCTCTTCTCTCATCATGCTCCACACCCAGGCGACTAGCTCTTGTGTTAACCCTTGAAAGGTCTTGTCAAAGAAGCCACAGGAAATGCATCCCTATACATGCTGTAGCAAAATTAGTGGAGGCCTTCTCATCTGCATCACTGACGGTTTCCTATGAAAGCCCCACATAAGTTATGTCTTTGAAAATTTACTGCTAAGAAAAGCTCTTCCTCCTCCCTTGAGAAACATTCCATAATTCTCTCTGATCAAGAGGATTATGTAACAGTTCATGCCCCAGTTTTGGTTTTTAGCTGCCAAGAGCTTGGCAGCAGATTTGAAGCCTTGCTAAAGAAACGTACCTTCCTGTATAATCCTGTGCTTCTTCCTCTAGGGTTACCACATGTTGTCTAGAACAGTTCAGCCTGTCCTGCTCAGGTCCTTTGCTTATTTTGCTTTGAGCTTCCTTGGGTGCAGGTTCCACCTGCTGCCTCTCTGTCACTGGCAGGTCTTCAGCCATCTGGCAGAGTGGTACACACACAAAGCTTTCCCATTCTCCTTGCCAACTTGTTCCTAGATCATTTTACCTTGTGTTCTTTTCTTCTGGAAGAGCAGCTTGGGGGTTTAAGGAGTTTGAACATTTGAGGTGGGAATAATAGAGAATTGATAACTTAGTTGCATTTCCCCCTTTATAAAGAAAAATCGATTTTATTTTTGTCAAATATACACGTAACCATAGTGTAAGACAATAGTTCTAACATGACTTATCAAACAAACAAAAACACCAACATCTCTCCATCCCTTTCTCCATCGGAAATTATTTTTACGTTTTTGGTTGATCCTTTTAGTACTATTTCAATAAACCTTCTTATAGACTATCTCTGCCTTTTTATTATACTCTGATACTTGTTTTCAGTTTTGTGAGTTCTTACTGACTGCCCATTTTGGAAGATGAGGATGTAAATCGTGTTTGCTCTCACGATGATCACAAGCTCTCTAATAAACTCGCCACTTCTCATCTCCCTCTCTTTCCAGTGAGTCTTGTGATTTTGATCAGATGACTATCCTTTTACAGTATTATTACATCTAAGTGCTATAACCGAGCCCTGTGTTATAATTACTTTTCCTTTCTAGCATAACTTTTCGGTCATTCTTGAATGTCTTATTTTTATTGTCTTTTCATTTGCTTGATTTTTATGTTCTTAATACTAATTTGACCCCAACTCTGCCCTGCAGTTTTCCATCTCTCTTTTCAGGTAAGGTAAGTATTCTGTTGTTTTTATCTTCTACATGAAATCTCTCTGGAAGCAGTGCTTGTATATGAACTGGTTGATCTCTAGTCCTGCTACACAGCAGCAGTAAAAAGCTACAAGTGCAAAAGGAGGGAGTTGTTATTTGAACCTGGTAAGAGCTTAGACATGGAAGAGGGGTCACCCAGCAGGAGGCCCAAAAGAGAGAAATCATGGGGAGAAAAATGCTACAAATCAGTTTTTTCCTGCTTATCTCTTGCCAGGATCTCTGGGTTAAACCCCATGGCGAATCAACCAGCAGGTAAGGTAGTCACAGAGATCAGTCTCCTGAAGTATGGGGAAGAGCTCTGAAGAAGCAAACTATGAATAACTAGATTATATGTCTTCTTTTTGGGGGTTATTATCTCATTTCAGGAAAGTATATTCTCCAGTAACTTCTATAGAAAGGGCATAGGAGAGAAAAATTACTGAAGTCTTTATAAGTCTATAAAATATCTTTCTATCTCAAACTAAATTGATAGTTTGGGTGGATAAAGAATTCAAGGTCGGAGAATTATTTTTCCTCTTTATTCCCTTGTCTTCTCTTGAGTAGGTTCCATTACTGCTGTTGAGAAGTTTTATGCCTATTCCAATAACAGGTTCTCTTACTAAAACCTGGGACCTTGTGGGAGCCCTTAATTTTCATACCCACAATTCTGAAATTTCAAAATGATGACACTCAGCGGATCTTTACAATTTAAAATTTCTGTCCCTTATGTCTCAGAAAATTTTCTTAAATTATTTTACTGGTTATTTCATTGCCTATGTTTTCTCTTTCTAGAACTCCAATTATTTGCATGGTTACCCTCTAAGACTCAATCTTTAATCTATTTGTTTCTCTTTACTTTTGTCTTTTGTATTGCTCTGTTTTTCAGAGACTTAGTTAACTTTATATTAAATTCCAGAGATTCTTTTCAGGTTCTCTGAATGTTCCTTTTTGAGTCATTTTATCGTATTTTATGGGTGTAATATTCTCTCTTATTTTCTTGAAGGTACTAATAGTAAATTGTTTTGATATTTTAGTTTCCCTGTTTTTAAGTAAAATCAGTTTTTTCTCATTGAGTTTTCTTGTTTGTTTTATTCTATTTCTGCTTTCCATATTAGATGTTCTTCTCAAATATCTGGTGATCTCTCACAGAAAAGCAATGAGGAAATTCAATGAAAAGAGACTGTCAATTCTAGGCTTTCCTGTTGGGCAAGCTATTTTGGATATTTTATTGGGGCAGTTTTAGTTTTTCTTTTCTTTTTGTTTTAGGGCACATGTGCTCACTGGAGAGGACAGAGAGAGAGAGGGAAAGTGAGAAAGCACCCTCTCCACTGGGGGATTATCATGCCTCAGTCCCTTCTCTATCCTTCCCCTCTCAGGATTTTTGTCATACATGCACATGTATTTGGCATGTTTTTCAAGCCACTAGGTCTGGTAGTCAAACTATACAGTTAACAATGTAGGATAGAGTTGTCAACCACCACACCACCTGGCTGATCTTGGACAATTTTCTAATGTGAGCAATTTAAGATTTTTTTCTCATAAGCTAGAGTCCATGTTTCTGTCTATAGAATATAAACCTAGTTACCAGCATTTTGGAAATGAAGTTAATGAATAGGGCAGAAAGTTTCAGTGAATTTATAAACTTTCCTTTAATACCCAGTGTCCAATGTGGTTTTGGTCTCAATGCTGCCTGCTGTCCGCTAGCCCAGAGTTCTCTGTCTTACCTGTTTCAGAAACCACACTTCCAATCTTACCTCAGAGGCAGCTTTCCTAATAAAGGAATCAGGGATCTCCCTCAATAATTTTTGAACAAATCTCCTAATCTCAGTTCTACCCTAACCCCCACTTCCAGACAAAAGTGGAATCACCAATTCCTGAGTCACTGGGATGGCATCATTTCATTTTTACTTGAACAAGTTTTCAACAATTTTTCTACTTCTTTGTATGTGTTACTATCCTGTTTTACAAATGAAGAAACTAGAGCTCACATAAGTTTAATGAATTATCCAGAGTAGTCAAATTTAGGCATAGATAAGGCTCAAATCCAAGTCTTTGAATGCTAAAGTTGGTGCTTTGCTTTTCTTTCAATTTCTGCTTTCTTTAAATGGCACTATTTATTTATATAAGTTACCTAGAATGGTATTCAGCCCAATGGGATTGAATTCACTTACCACATAGTGCCCAGTACGGCTTACGACAGCATTTGGGCCATCTGTGGAAGATTAAAGAATTCTAAGATCCCTGGACCCCAATTCTAAGAGATTCTGATTTATAAGGTCTTGAGTGGAGACCAAAAATCTCCATTTTTCCAATAGCTCCCTAGGTGATACTGGCATGTAGCTTGATTGAGAGCTACTGCCCTAAAAGGTCTGGAAGTGGTCTAGAGGGGTCCCTCGGCTTCAAGGCATGGATAAGAGGCAGTTCCCAGAATGTAACAATTTAGCTGTCCAGACAGCAGCCATCCCAGCCTGCCACAGTCTAAGCTAATAGCTTCTTCCCTTCCACTCCTTCTTAGGGCCCCCTCAGACCTCACTTCTGCCCTCATTACTTGACTCTGCCCACTCACATAATGGAGACTCCCTTGCCAGTTCCCTCCATGGCTCCATTTCTGCTTGTGGGACTGCAGGGAATCAACTTACTGAAAAAAAATTAAATTGAAAAACGTCCTTCCTGATAGCTCAGGACCTCTTGTGGAACTTAGCTCTCTTAGGAGCCAGAGCAAAAGAATAATAAAGAGCTCTGCTTAATCTCTGATGGGCGGCCCCAGGAATGTTATCCCAGACTCTCAGGTGACCTCCTAGCTGGCAAATATAGAACCAAATACCTTTAGGCCAGAGAGGGAGCACCTTGGCATCTAAATGCAGGCATATGCTTATGAATGCACAGTAGTACACAGTGGAGGAGGCCTCTTTTCTACAACCTGAAGGTCCCTGAGCTGCATCGGGTCAAAGAATGATAGAGAGAAAGAGAATAGAGCCTTGTAACAAGAATTTCAGTGTTTCATTTACCATCAAGAGTAAGAAAAGACAGCCTGTTTGGAGAACCAGTAAGACAGGACACCATACAAACCTTAGCAAGGAAGATAGAGAACTCTCTAGGGAAAAAAATGCCCTAAGAGTCAGGTGAATGAGTTTATGAACAGTAACTCAGCCTTGAACAGGAAGGATGATTTCGAATAAAATGTAATTTCCCAGGGGACCTACCACTTCCAGAGCCCTCTTTCAAGGTTTGCCTTCTACATAAGTCAATTTATTGGTAAAACAAGACCCCAAACCTCTAGCGCAACGAATGGCTTGAAGTGGAAACCTGATCCTAGGGTAATCAATAGAGGGTAAAAGAGAATGTGAGATGGCCTGAAAAAAGAGTTCTCAAATAGGGAAAGGGTATAAAGTAAGCCAATTTGATTCCTCAAGAAGTTTATTTAATGTTTGTGTTTCTTTGTTTGTGCCATAGGGCACATGCATTCACTGCAAAGAGACAGAGAAAGGGAAAGTGAGAAATCACCCCCAGGGGGAATGGCCATGCTGCAATCCCCTCTCTTCCATTCTCCTCTCAGAATTTTGGGCACATACAGCTAGGTGCCACTTTATAGGATGCGTGAAGTTAGACCTGTGTTCATGGAAATGTGTGTGTCACCTGTGTTTGCTATGAGGGTATTTGGATTGATTAGGGTCTTCGGTGATTCAACAAAATGTGGAGAGAAAACAATATAGAAAGCAAACAAAGATACCAGAGACAGTGTGGGAGGAGAGTGGGAGATGGCAGAGAGTAAAAGATAGGGAATCAAGGATGGGGGGGGAAAAAGCAAAACATACAGAAAACAAGAAATGGAAGATCATTTGCTGACAATAACATGTTTGTTGATGTGCTTGATTGAGACAATATACAGTGTACTCTGGATGGAAAATCTCATTTTGTATGCTGTAATGATGTACAGTGAATGAATGCAAATAAATAAATTGGAAAAAAAAAGAATTTTGGGCACATACACCAATACACACACTTCAAGCCACTATGTCCAGGACTTGAACCATAGTTGACCATGCAGTAATCTAACACCATAACCACCATGCTGCCTGCTGGCCCTGCAAATTTGTTTAATTTATTCAACAAATATATATTAAACATCAATAACATATAGACAGTTTTTTTTTTTTTTAATCTTATTTAATAATGGTCCAGGCAGTGATACAGAGTTAACAAAACTAGACCCACATGGGAAAGGTCCTGGGTTCATGAGCCAGTTGAATATATGTGTGCCATAATCTGGTTGGCTGAGATGGGATAAATTGTGACGTGAGAACTCTGTTGGGAATAACTCTCTCTTTCTGATTCTTTCAGTCATGGAAGAAATGAATAAACTTTCCAAAAATCTTACTTAACAAAACTTCTATTGAACATGCTCTGTGCCAAATACTAATCTTGTTTTTTTTTACAAATATTAATTCATTGAATTACCATAGTACCCATGTAAATTAGCTACTATTATTATTTCTATTTTAAAAGAAAACTAAGGTACTAAGTAATTTGTCCCAAGAAGTATTTTTAAGTGTTTATGAAGCAGTAGTATCATTCTTTCAAGTATTAGAGAATTAGAGATAGATTAATAAATAAAAGAGACAAATCAATGCCTTCCTTACACACTTACCTTTAATGATGATTTCAGTCTGGACATTTGGAGAGACAGTCGGTGGTACTGGAAAAAGAAACTGAAAAAATATCACATGATGAAGTCTGGTCGCAGAGACCATCCAGCAGCAGAGACCCCAGAAGAAAGGTGAGGGAAGTGATTACAGTGACAGAAAAAGTTAAAGGTTCATGAATGAAGGGCAAGGGCTCAACAAGATAAACAGACCATGTGAAGAACCTTCCTCTTGCCTACTAAATTATTTCCATGAGGAACAGCTATATGGTTGAGTTTTTCATCCTATTATCCCTACTGGAAGATCACTAGACCTGAGTGAATGTCTGTTCTTTATATCCATAAGAACCTCCAACATTCATACTTACTGAGCCATAATCCCTTGTGAAAGCAAAGATTGGGAGAAACAAAACCTGAAAGGCAGCATGCATAATAAGAATCTCCTTGTGAGGATAAGAGCATGAAATTACACTACTTTGGGACAAGTGCCACCATAGAGAAAGGTACAGGAGTGGGATGACAATTCTTCTGGCTTCAAAGAAGTACGTGGTAATGTCAACAGGCATCAACTTCAGCTAATGCTGGCTCCAGGTAAAACAGTGGTGCAGCCCTTGCCCTACAATCCCAGTTTCAGTCCACAGTGGGGCAACAGCACACTACTGCATCTCAGAATGTTCTGTGTCATTCACCTGCTCTCTGAACATGATGTGGGGGAGCTTCAGCATTATCAACAGGGAACTGATATCCCTTAGGTTACAGGAGAGAAGAAACAGGGCAAAATGGTGATCGCTATGTGGAAATCAAGAGGACTTATTTACTAGCATATCTGAGATGCCCCCTGGGAATTCTCTGGGATCATTGAGAATCATTTGTTAGGAAGTTGAACATACTGCAATAGCATCTTGCAGTTAAAACAAAAATAATACTGTCCTTCCCCTCTAGGACCCATTTAAACCTGGAGGCTGATATGACAGAGGGGAACATAAATAATCATTTGCACTGATTTTTGTCTCACTTCAGTCAAAGCTGTGCTACATGGGAAAGGCTATATTTATTAAAGCTGAGCCAAAGCATACTGGTCCTCATTCTCACCTCTGCTGTGTCTCAGGAAGCCACAGTCCAGAGCACAGATAATGCTGGTGCTGGTTGAAAACACTCAGCAG